TCAATCTTAGCAATATTTGATTCAGGAAAATCATTTGTAATAGGTTTTGAACTTAAACCAGACAATTTTTTATCAATAAGATTTTCTAAATCATTAAAAGATTTAACTTTAAAATCAGCAGTATCAATAGGACGTTGAATATGAGTAGGAACACTTAAAGAAATTTTTGAAGTAGAAGCTTTATCTTCTTTTGGACCCTTTTGAAATTCCTTTACCAAAATAATTAATTCATCTAATTTTTTATCTAAAGAACTAATATGTTCTCCAAGAACTTTAACATATAAACTCAAATAATTATTTTGAGAAATAAGATCATTAATATCATGAATAGTAATCTGGGCAACATCTGTTTGAATAAACTTTTGAAAAGTTGAAAAAGTTAACCCAGTATTATTTAGTAAAATAAACGGAGCTTGAGAAGGAGAGATGGCTTTAGTAATAGTGCCATCACTTGCTTTAAAAGTTCTTTCTATAACTTTGATATATAAAGGTAAATAAGTAGTTATAAACCACGGAACAAAATAAATAATTTTATTATGTAAAGCACAAGTTTCATAAAACTCTTGAGAAATATTATTTAAATCATCTTGCCTATAAGTCTCAAAAAACCAAGTTCTAAACTGGTTCCATTTTTTATGATAAAATTCTTTTTGAATATGTTTTCTAACCAGGGATCCTGGACTAAAATCCAATTGTTGACTCATCATAATCAAATTTCATTGAGATCTGTTGATTTATCAACATTAAATTCCATTTCAGACTGATTTGGATATAAATCTGACAACTTATCTGTTGCTTGAACAATATTAGTTTTAGGGTCTATTCTTACCCTTTCAACCAATCCTTCACTCATAGTATCACTTAAAGTGTGAATAGATAAAGATCTTCGCCTTGCTGATCCATAGCTAGGACCTGCATGACTTATAGGAGAAATATGTTGAATTTCTGGTAACCTTCTATAACCAGAAAAAGATCGCCTATTATAAACAGGAGAATTATCACTAAATTCAATACAAATCTTACCATCTAGATTTTGAGTAATATGAGAATAGTCACTATTAGTGATATCTTCAGCAACCTGTCTTTGAGACACAACATCATTTAAAATCCATTTATCAGGAAAATTAATCTCATCCCATTTAATAGGTCTTCTGGTAGTAATCTTAGATTTAGTAAAATTAGTTTCAACGAGAATAGTTTCATTAGACGAATCATATAATTTATATCTAGGATTTAAAGTAGTCAATAACTTGTAATAAATCCTGTAAGATAAGCAAATAAGCTCAGATCCAGCATCATAATTATAACCATGAGTTTTAACATTTAATTGTTAACGCATCAAGAATATTTTTATCAGATAAAGATAATTGCAAATTAGGTTGCGTATGGAAATAAACTGGTCCATAAGCAACAGTAGATTCAATTGAACCCATAAGAGATTGTCTAAAATTCAAATTTCTAGCATCTCGTAAAGCTGCTAAAAAGGTTTCAGGTAACCCTTTAAGAGTTAAAGGTTTAAAAGCAATCTGCACCATACCAATATGCATCCAGTTATATTTAGATTTATAAATATCAGTATCTCTTTTGTTCAATAATTGAACAACTTGCTCGTCAGAATTAAGAGCTAAAGATTGCTCATTAGTTTTAACCACATGCTTAGTAGACAATTTGTTAAACCAAATTACATAAATTGGGTATTTTAAGTAGAAGAAGAAGAACGAAAAACTTAAAAACTAGTTTAAAAATTTGAAGAAACCCCTCTATTTATAGCCAACAAAGGGTAGTGTAGAAAATGTTTATTGTGCCTTGTAAAAAAATGTCACAACCCTTCAAAAAGTTCATAACTCATCGGAGGAGTCATATGTCTTTGGAAAAGTCAAAGTCCTTCGAAAAAGTCACAATTTGTCGGAAAAGTCGCATACCTATAGAAAAGTCACAACCCTTTGAAAAGGTCACAACTCATCGGAAAAGTTTCAACTCTTTGAAAATATCACAACCCTTCAATGTGAAAAGGTGTCTGTCTGCCTTTAATATAATATATACTCCTTCTATCCCAATTTATGGGACTTACTTTCCTTTTTAGTCAGTCCAAAAAAGAATGACACATTTCTATATTAAGTAATAATTTAACTATAAAATGTCTATTTTAACCTTAATGAAATGATTTACAACCGCACAAATTTTTATCATTCGTTTGGACCACAAGTAGAGTTGTCAAAAAGGGCCTCCTAGCCCCACCTGGCCCAAGCTTCGCGGGACCAAGGAATTTGAAGGGCTAGGGCGGGCCAGCCCTTCACTTGGAAGGGCCCTTGAAAATTCTCAACCCAACCTAACCCAACCATAGAAGGGCCGAGGGCTGAGGGTTGGGACGGGCTAGCCTTTTTGTTCTTTTCAAACATAAAATTTTGTAACATCAAGAAAATGAGAAGATATTCAAATCAAATATGGCAAACAATAGTGTTGTTTCAATAACACTAGTGAAAGATCTAGTGTAATTAGCATGTATCTAAGACACTAGATATGTGAGATACATGGATGTAGTGTGATGCATTCCAGATACGCGAGCGAGATTAGAGAGAGACGAGGGCATGGGATTTGTCGATATATCCTAGATACATGCGAATATACTTGGATAGAGTATATCTAGAACAAATTAACCTTATTTTGAGTCCATGTATCCTGAGATAGATGTATCTAGATGAACTAAAATCTTGTAAGATTCATAATATTACAACATAACGTGCATTTAAGTAATTAGCTCATATACTAGCGAGATTGTTGTAAGTTGCCCTTAAATGGGCCGATCCCGATCCAACCCTAATCAATCCTAAGGGCCAAGGGCTTATATGGGTTGGGCTTATAAGCCCTAGTTTTAAATGTACTTGAAAAATCCTATCCAGTCCTACCTGAATAACGGGTTGGGTTGGGTCGGCCCCATGTGCCAAGCCCGTTTTGACGGCTCGAACCACAAGTTCAAAAATCTTCATTAACTCTGTGTCGAGTCAAAGTGCCTCACATAAAATGGGACAGAGGGAGTATAATATAAAATAAATAAATATAATACGGTCTAAAATATAGAAGATTTACTATGGTGTTTTAAGTTGGGGGTATTGTAATATTTTAACAATTAAGCTACGTAGTTCATTCTTTTAAGATAGTATAGAATATATGTAGATTAAAAAAATAGATATAGATTTGTCTAATTTTAATTTGATATAAAATTTTTGAATATAAACAAGACTCTTAATTTAAGGATATGTAGAATATTAAAATAACTTTTAACTTTGTGGTCTTAAAGAAGCGCCCCCACCCCAAAGAAAAGAGGACATTATATATTAAACTGAATAATAATAAAAGTACAACAAATATATTGGAAACGGAGTGGTAGTTATTAATCTAGTTTGTACTCCTCAAACAAGTTTTTGATCGAATCCTTTTTCTCCAACAGTTTGAGACTCTTCACAACTTGAAAATACCAAGTTGTAGTTTGTGCAACGGAAAATCATTGTTCTTGTCAAGCAGAAGTTACTGCAAAAGTAATATTTTTGACTATGAAAATGAGTACATATTTATTATCTAGATAGTTTTCTCGTTTGTAGTTGAGTTATTCCATTCTCCTTGTTGCATCAACTTTTGTTGATCTATCTAATTTACCCACAAAAAATATTGTGATTGCATAATTGAGCACCTCTCACAATCTTCCTTGTTTTAAGAAGAACAAAAAACTTATAAAATTTGTAGTTTAAAATTGTGATAAAACCCACTATTTATAGACAACAAAGAATAATATGAAAAAGTACTTATCGTGCCTTATCAAAAAGTCACAACCCTTCAGAAAAATCACAACTTTTTGAAAATGCCATAACTCATCAAAAAAGTCACAACCCTTCGGAAAAGTAACTACCCATCAATGTGAAAAGGTGTTAGCTTTAAATATAATATAGAGTCAATAAATTGATAAAATATAATATAAAATATAGAATATATACTAAATAGGTGTTTTAAGTTGGGCTATTATAGTAATTTAACATGCAAGTTAGGGAGTTCATGTTTTTAAGGTAGTAGATATAGATAGATAGATAGAGTTATATTAAATCATAAAAGTGGGAAGCTCCATAGTTGAAAGTTGAATTACAAAAATATCCCTAATCATATTAAATATAACCACTTTGTCGTGATCACTTAATTAACACTATCCCTCTAATTACTTTTACATAGAAAGTAAAATGTTTATCTTGTATCATTGATCACTTAATTAACATTATTCGTCTAATAGCTTTTACATGTTAGAAACTAAAATATTATCTTCTATCAATTGGATAATTAATTCAGTTTCACTAGTGTCTGTGTGGTGGTGGTGGTGGTGGGGTTACTATTTAATCTGCAGCTATTATTATAGACTATTAGTGTCCAAACCTTTTAAAATTAGCAGTTACATTATCAAACTTCTCATATTACAACATTTATATATTTGGTCTTTTAAACTTCAATCACTTAAATACTCTATACCCTTTTCATATTTTTTGCACTTTATAAAGTTACCACACTGTCAAATTTCTTTATCATTTTATTTTTACTCCTCTCCTGTTAGACTACAAAACAAGCTGTTACTATTGGCCTTCTATTTGTTGAGTTTTGCCCTGTATAAGATAATACTATTTTTTCTCTTTGAACAAGTTCAGTTTCTGCTTACTGCTTGAATATGGCTTGTATTCACGAAATAATGTGTACAAATAATGTATTTTATTTTAGTAATGTCACACACTTTATTTTTTTAGTCTGCTCCAAAAGAATATCACTTTGGGAGTAATTACTGAACCATATATATGTGACTTTATAATGTTTTGCACTCATTGAAATGATTGTACACACGCAATGCATGTGCTCATTGATTAGTTTTTCCTAAATTTGTTGTGACTCATATATGCACTGAACCAGCTAGCATATTTCAATTACTCAGTGCTAGATTCTGATTATTCTATTTGAATGTTCTTTTGCAGGATACATAGCATATAATTTTGTAATAGGTGCATACTCGTATTGGGGACCAAAGGCTGGTTATAACATATACCACATGGTAAGCATTAGAGTCATCACTTCATAAGTATTCTCAAAAGACACGTGTGTAAACCTGTTGATAACATGTTTCTTTCTGTGATCTAGTCCTTCTTGAGAATTACTATTTGTAAGTTTAATGAGTTCAGTTGGTCAAATGTCGACCCTGTTACATTGTTTTTGTTGCAGTAACCAATTATCAGTCTTGAATTTTAAACAAATTAAAACCAAAAAACATGTCTTTGGTAGGTATCTGATCTGCAATTGGTTCTTTTTGCAGAACAATGCAGATCTGATGTTTGGAGGTATTACTATCATATGTGGAATATTTGGAACCTTAGCAGGAGGTTTTGCTCTGGATCGAATGACTAACACGATATCCAATGCCTTCAAGGTAGATTCCTTTCATTCCAAAGGTTTTCTTGTAATATCTAAATCTCACAAAACTGCTTTCAGATCTAATGTTCGGGAGCTTGATCACTCTAGTTGTATTTGCATTTACTCAAATGATCAGCCTTCTCTTGTGTAGTGTTCCTGATATGATGCAGGATACACTCAAGCAGATATGGTAGATAACAAATTGATTAATGAAAATGACTGGAGAGATTTTTTTTTAGGGATTGAAGAATAAAAAGAAGCTCATAACGTTATTGAATGTCCATGTTAACAATTTATATATGAAAATAATTACCCCAAATAACGACAATAAATAAAGATGTAAAGATTTAAAGAATAGAAGAATTACTGTCATGAATCAAGCTTGAGAGTAATTGCCAAGTACAATCCAAACAAAGAGATTCTACCCTCATAATGTGTATCGAATCTCAAAGTATGTCACAAACTATCAACCAAGCTGATGAAAAATGAGCCCAGAGGTCCTTTTTTTTGACAAAGAGTCCAGAGGTCCTTTTAAAGGACCAAAACCACCAGTTCATTGCTCTAGGCTTTAGTCTTCTTCACCACATGACTTTTGGTAGAACGACCAGAGCTTTGTAGGAGAGTCAAAATGACGAACCATTTAAACTTCTGGGAACTAGATTTCCATATCTAAAATATTGGTTTAGTTTGCATGTTTTTGATTGAGAAATATTCTCTGATGAATTGAAGTCATGTGCTACTCAATCTCAAATGTTGGTCCAACTTTCCAACTCTTATCTTTTTGACTTCTAAATAGCTCCTTAGCTCCGTAAGTTACCAGCTTAAAAGAAAATAGCTGCTTAGCCCCATTTTGGCCCTCCATGAACCATATACATATGGTATATAAATTCAAGTCATTAAATTTCTTTTTTCTTATGCTATCTGGGCCTTCCAGGATCATAGCAGCTCCTTTTGATATTCTCTGCATGGTGTTGCATCCTTCTTGTATCTTGACCTTTCCTGAAATGCGAAAGTGGTGTCTTGAGGCCTAGTAACAGGTAGTACCTCACTTATTAAAAGAGGAGCTTGAGTAGTTCTTTCTTCAAGTATATCTGGTCTATTACCCATCTTGTGGAAAAGAAAATTTGAGAAAAGATACTTATATGAAAGAGAAAGGTTAGTCATGTTATGATCAAAAACTGGAGGGTCATGACAGACACCTCCGAGCATCTACCCACCTAGCTATATGTGACTTCACTTATGCTTAACTCAATCAAGGAAAACAGTGGGACTCTAGGCAGTCCTGTTCCTACAAATGGACTCCTGGTGGCCCTACTATCACGCTGCAGTTATAAGAAAGGAACACTACAAGTTTCAGAGTAAGTTAAAACAATTTGAATATACGAATTTTTGTTAATACATCTTGTTGTATAGGTGTACGATGTGTAATTAAATAAAAAAGTGCTAAATGATTTCCCTTTCAGTTTATTTTATCCCACAGTTGACTAAAATATGAATATTGAATTAAAAATGAGATGGTTCTTTGAGACGAAGTATGATATTAAGTGAAGGAAAGGGAGGGGAATTTTAAGAAAAAGATCTTTTTCCTTTAGTATAATGGAAAATGTTTTCTGGAAAATGATTTTTCTTTTGTCTGGTTGCACTAAATTTCATGGCAATGTTTTCCCTGAATCGGTAAAAACACACCAACACATCCTCAACCCACCCCCTTAACTGCCCTACCCTAGCCCCACCCTGCCTACCCCACTTCCCACCCCGCCTACACCCACCATCAGAAGTTGCACTACGAATTACGAAACCTTATAGTGTTCTGCTTTGAATACACGCAAATGCCCTTAAAATGACATTTTCCAACTTGCACACCAAATACAAGAAAATGAGTAGAAAAATCACTTATATTTCAAGAAAATATTTTCCGTCATACCAAACACACCCCAAACTCAGCTTTTGGCTCTAATCATATCAAGTTGATCCACTAGAGACGGGACCGAATATGCACCTCCCACAAAGTATATGGCACATGTAACATAAGGAGTACAACTGAAGATGGGGCGCAACTCAAACTGTAAGCTAAGATAGACTACTAAGACCTTCTCAAAGATAGTGGTGGCTTATCACTGTTGTTGATCGATAACACGTCCAGAATATATGTTGCCCAGGCTCTCCAAAAGGATGTCGCACCCGTGTTGGATCCTTGAAAAATGAACTGCTTTCAACCACACACGACATTTTTGAGGAGTCTGAGCAACCTAGCCCAAAAGTCTAATGCTATGTTTGCCTCTGCATTTAAACATGAGGTGGGGGTGCGTCATCTAAGACCAATAAAGCTTTATTGATCTGTTCCTAATTGTTTGGAATAAGTGTAAGAAAAAAATGTATGCAAATAGTAGCAAAAAATGCAAATGTAACTGCATGCCAAACTGGTGTCGTGGTTATTAGGCTAAACTAGTTGTTGAAACGTACACCTAGGTGCCTCACAGAACTGTATGCAACTTAACTTGCAGCATATAAATGGGAAGACTTCCATCAAGAAATGGACTGGTGTCATGTGTACATCATGACACCAACCTAACAGTAGAGCAGTATTGTACTTGAAATTGGCACTGCTAGCAAATTCTTGAACTGCAGTGCTGGCAATAGTCAAACAGTAATAATACAACTCGCGCTGCAAGTGTGGTTATGCGATGCTGCGCTTAGCTAGTCGATACAAACATTTACTTGGTATCCATCATTCGCCTCCCCAGTAGCGTACTCATGATATTTTTTAAGCGGTCAAGAAAATAAAGAAATAAAGGACTTCAATGACATTATATTAGAAGGTTGCATCTTTTGTTACACTATACTCCAACATAGCATGCTCAACAAACTGTTGGGGATTAAAACAACGTAATTAATCAAAAAGACTTTCTTTGAAGAAATGGTATTTTCGAGGATAAAAAGTACCTTTTTGAAGATATGCTTTTCTTACCATTGGGGATTAAAACAACGTAATTGCTCATAAAAATTCTCTTTAAGAAAATGTTGATTTGGAGGACGAGAAGTACCTTTTTGAAGATATGGTTTCTTAGTGCATCATGGTCATTTGGATGTGTTTTTGGATGCTAATCTTTTTCTGGATCAGCTTTTAAGTAATTTAAATAATTAACTCTTTATTCACGTTTTCCTGTCTTATTGACCCTTTCTTCTAAGCTAGATGAATTTTGAGATGTTAAACTTAGTTTTGAAATTTTGTAAGATGCTTTATAAAAGTAACTCTTTATTGAATTACAAATGAAAAGTCAACTTATATAAACCTTAAATAAGTTCATAGAATTCAACAAACGAAAGAAAATAATGATTTTTTCCAAATTATTCTAACTGGAAGAACAAGAAAAGAAGTAGTAGGAAAGTTGGGACGCCACCTGGTCCATTAGTTTAGTTTCTCAATACCTACCAAGAGCATAAAAGGGCAATATTTAAAACACTGTTTCTTTTGCTGTCAAGTATCATTTCATTGTTTTTGGCGCTATTTGCTTCTTTTGCATATCATTTATATAGTAAAATTTTCCGACAGATGACACCTCTTAACACAAGCTGCATCCACAGCTGCACCTACCAAAATGAAAACACTGCACACAACTATTATACTCATGTTCAACCTCAAAAACTATACATCAATATATGCATATGAAACACATGTGGATGGAATGTCATAATGCAACTTCTTAAATAAGAAAAAATATTTCTTGAGATTCAACTATTTGTAACTTTAACTTGCAAGCCAATACACGCTCATTCCAATGTATACATGCTATGTTGCTCGTACTTTTCAAAGATATCGACGGGTGCATGTTGGATATCTCAAAAGTAGTTCATTTTTTAAGAATCCGAGAATGGAGTAAATTTTTTTTTGGAGAGTACAAGAAGCATAGCATACATGGACACCAAACTAGATATAATGCCATTCACACAATCTCCAATCACTATACATGCTTAGTTTAGTCAAAACAAGGTAAAGTCGACACTTACTCAAGTTTGAAACTTGGGGGTTAATGCTATGTCTCTAGTATGTCACCATGTGGCAATCCACACAATTAACTGTTCCAAGGTGCCGATTACATCCAAATAGATCAGTTCTAAACGAGGTCTTCGGACAAAGTTCAAGGTGGTCCGAATCCCGTCATACTGATTAACCCATTTCCATTTGATTTATAAATTACCCATAGCCTAATAAGATCAGTCCTATTACTAGGGCTCATCAAAATATCCAAACTATTCAATCCCCAAAAATTCTATTTTTGAAATTTTGGCAGAACTCATGAGTTCCTATCTTTTCTTAATTTTCTTGAATTGTCGATGGTTGGTAAGAATTTCTCAGCATATGAAGCAATGATAACAGTAAGATATCTTATGGTATGAAACAATTTGAATTAGAGTAATAAGTTGGTCACTAACTCAAAGCTAATGAAATAGATATAGAGAATTTTACCTAAAAGGCTCATGGAGATGCTGCTCGGAAAGGTTTCTTCTGGAACCTGATGTGAATAAGTTATGCCAAGGATTCCTTTATATAGAATTTGGAAGTGGACGACGTGAAACCGTGTCCAACAAGGTGAATAATTTGTTAGTACTCCTAGAAGGAGTCTTAAATGCTAATTCGTATTGTATTAATTATGTGATACTCTTTTTGAAAAGGTAAGCATTATATTGTATAACAAAGCACTTGGCACTAAGAAAGTGCAAAAGCAGTATACTATCTTGAATTCCTCATAACAAACAAAAACAAAATGGGAGGATTCCACTGTACAAAAATCTATTCTTGCAAAGTATCTGTAAAATGTAGCATGCTGGTTCACCCTGAAGATTACACTAAAAAACCAACAACCACAAACATTTGTATTTGAGCTTTTTTACGTTATCTGTTTTCCGTTCAAAACATTTTTATCATTTCTTTCCTTCCATACAACCCGACACACACAAGCAGGTATTGTATTCCAAATCTTCTTCAATAGTTTACTAATTCCTTTTAGTGCCCAGCAGTGCAATGTCCAGCTTGCAGATAAACCTATTTCTCCCTGTCTTCTTCTTCTGTCGAAACGCTTGTTAGCCATCGAAACCGCATCTGTAATTTTCCTCTTTTTAATAAATGTCATCTGTAATTTGATCTTTCTGCTAGTAGTTTAGAAATGATTTTGTGGAAACTCCCCACCAGACTTATTGGTCTGAAATCCTTTATTTCCTCTACCCAGATTTCTTAGGCATTAATATTTCTTTCAATATTTCCACTCTGATACAAAAAGTTCACCACAGCCATAATATTTTTCCTTTACTGCAGTCCAGTAGTGCTTGTAAGATATCATATTGAATCCATCAGGTCCTGGAGCCTTTTCCCCTTCATCGCTTCTAATGATTTCTACCACCTCACTCTTCCTCAGAGGAAGACCTTTGGAGCTCCTCCTTATCCACCTCATTTAATCTGGGACAACTAGGTTTGAAACAAGGCCTCCACCCCTCATTCTCTTTGTACAGTTTGCTGTAGTGTTTAATAATCTCTTCTTGATAATTTCCTTGTCCTGAACTATCTCATTTATTTCCAGCTTCTCAATTAAGTTGTACCTTCTATTTGCATTGGTACTTTTGTGGAATACTTTGGTGTTTTTATCCCCCACCTTGATCCACAAGAATCTGGATCCTTACCTCTTAAGATATTTCTTCATGCTTTGCCACCTCCTGAAATTCCATCATCGGGGCTCCCCTTTCTTCTATTTTTCCTTCATTTAGTCTTGCTCCTTCTTCAACCATTTATAATACCTCTATTTTCATCCCTATGCTGAGAGATGTGGTATTACAGGTTGTTACATGTGTAAGTTATACTTGCATCTTCTGGTATCAGTTTGAACTTTGAAGTACGCAATCAACAAATAAACCTTATATCCAATGCTTGTTCAGTCAGAAACCCCAAATTTATGGTGTTCCTCACTAGGTTGGAGAAGATTGATTATTTGGGCTTATACAACTCCTCTTGTTTCAATGAAGCAGATTCTCTGTCATCAAAGGATGAATGGCGAAGTTCAGATGTCATATTAATCTCACGTTCTCTCCTGAAGTATTGATTTTATTCCAATTCCTGCCACTAATATGTCAGTACTCTGTGCAGCTTCTTGCAGTGGCAACATTTTTTGGAGCAATATTTTGCTTTGCTGCCTTTTGTTTTAAGAGCTTGTATGTATACATCGCTCTTTTTGCCATAGGAGAATTGTTAGTATTTGCAACACAGGTAATTTAATTGATCATATTATTTGTGTTCTCTACTCTTTTTTTGAAACTGATTTCTGTTGTCTACCCCTTATTTTTGATTAAACTGATTTGTGTTCTCTACTTTATATCGTAGTTCAATTTTGCTTATTTCTTAGCACCATGCTTTCTTGCAAGAAGATACGTTACCCTTCCTCTTTTCCTTCGATTCTTGTGATCTTGTCTAGTGTCAGTAGAAGTTGCATATGAGATCAGAAGTCTAATTTATTGTGAGGCAAAAATAATGTTCCAGAACTATTAGAATTATTTTGCTATGATTGGTATTGCCACTGAATTTTTTCCTTGCTCTTGACTGGCTTTGACATGGTTACCTGTCATGTCCCAACTATTTCGACATGGCTTGGTTGTATTTATCTAACATTCAATGACTATTAGCCAGTTCCTTACTTTTTAACATTGTACACTATGAATGTAGGCCCCGGTAAATTATGTCTGTCTGCACTGTGTTAAACCAAGTATGAGACCATTATCTATGGCTATGTCCACTGTTTCCATTCACATATTTGGTGATGTGCCTTCCTCTCCTCTTGTGGGGGTTCTCCAGGTTTGTTTTTTTTTTGAAGTAAATATACAAAAGCTTCTGTTGATGCATCTTTTTCTAATTTAGTCTGTTAAATGTGGAAAAAGTTGATATTCTATAATCATAAAAAAGATTCCCAAATCCCTGTAATCAGGGTTGCGTATTGGTCGGTTCGTTTTGAAGTTTATTGGTTCGACCTATCGGCTATCTTTTTGTAGACAAGCTAAATCATTAAGATATTGGATTATCGGTTTATTGGTTATTAACAAGCTAAAAATAATAATCAAAAATCCTTCGGAAACGAGGTGACAAACCAAATGAACCATGCACATGAGTTGATAGATAGCATTTTGCTCAAAAGCAAACACCGACACATTGTCTAATTACCCAGTGTTTGAGACAACAAGAAATAAAAGTATGAAAGTAAACCCTTACGTTACACCTTGTTTGGATGGTTGTTACCCATTTTATTTTATTGTATTGTTAGTTTAAGTACAATGTTTGTTTTGATTATTACTTAAATTCTATTGTATCATATCGTTTAAATTCATCGTTAGGTGACAACGAAAAGACCATTTATGTAACAACCAATTTGGTGTGATTGCGTCATTACCTTAATATTTTCTTCTCATTTTGTCTTATTATTTAATAATTATATTTCATCTTTTACCCTACCTTTTCATAGTAGCTCGATCCCGTGATGTTCTTATAGGTTTACCATTCAAACTATTGATGTGTGACATTATGTAACAATGGAGAACGATATAATATATCTCAACATTGTATTCGTGCAGTACGATACAATACAATACAATACAATATAATACATTATGAAATAATACGTAACAACCATCCAAACAAATAAGTCAAGAACTTTATATACCAAATGGTGTAAATATAATTTATTAATTTACTATAGAGTTATTGGTTAACCGATTAAGAAAAAACCTCAAACCATTAAGAACAGATAACCCGATAATTAAATAAACAATTAAAACTGTTATCGAAACTGCTAAACCAGTAACCCATTACTGATAAGCCAATAAGTTTTTTTTCGGTTTGGTGATCCTTCCGATCATCAGACTTTCTCTCTCTTCACCTTCTCTTCTCTTCTCTTTTACTCCTCTCTCCACCTCCTCACACTCACGAGAGAAATGGAGGACACCATCTGTTTTGCAATTGGATTCAAGTTTTTTGACACTACTTGGTTAGTAGACTGGTATGAATGGACTGAAAGAAGTAGAAATGCCATCACTAGAACATCTTTCACCAAGAAGACAATGGAATGGATTAGATTCTCTCTGAAGCTTCTAAGACAAAGGAAAATGAAGTCAAATGGTGGATGAGGAAGTCGGTCATCATCATCCCTGAACTGACTTTCAGTTCTGTCTGGGTCTCGATTGTGGAAAAAACGAGGACATTCACTGCCAACCAAAAGAGGGAGATTGGCAGAGATAATCACAGATTGATAGACAACAAACTTCCTTTTGCTGAAGCAGTCAGATTTCAGAAACAGTAAATGGTGTAACAGGGAAGAAAATAATTAGATAACCCACATACCCATACCCAGTAATCTGCGTGCACACATTAGACTAATGACTCGTGAGGGAGGATCCATTCTACATGTAAAACTGGAACGTGCTTCCACACATCCTTAACTTAATGTACCATGAAGATGTTTACATGATCGTAAGTTCATAACTGATTACAAGGCATGAATCCGTATGCCCATATATTCAACATGACATACATATAAGCAACGTGCATGCTAAACTAGTAGAATCTTGTAAATCAAAAACACATAAACTTAATGTTCTAGCACGTACATTTTACTAGCTTATACAATATGCACATTCAACAGATATAACATGTTATGCATAATGAAGTTGCAATAATTTAATGGTGAGTTGTTTGCTTAGTTGTTTGATCACATTTGTACTTGGTAGCTGAACTTGAAATAGAATTGGACTTTCTGGACACGTTTACTGTTTTAGCAGTTGTACGTTTTTATTTCCGGGACGTGGGAAGTGATGAGGCTTCTAGTTGGGATGTGGGAAGTTCTGACTTATTCTCTGTATCAAGACTAGATTTGCCAGACTTAACTACCAGCAAATAACATAACACTTTCTTATACACAGCTATGTATATTTCCAAAAGACAAGAAAATGCCATGATGCTGATATTTGGCTGCTAAGTTTCTTTCCAATGGACAAAATTGATTGACCAACTCTACCTCTTAAATATCCCATGCCAAGAAGGCTACTACTTTTAGAGAATACAAGCTAAGGAACCTAAAACCAGAAAACACACATCTTTTATCTGCTAAATTTGAAGTTCTTGCTTTAAGATAGATGCTAAATATTTTGATACATAAAATAGCAATTATTTTAGGAGTAGTTGTTCCAATAATTAGATCTGTTCCCTATATCCCAATAGGATGATCCTTTTCCCTTCCTATTAAAGCAATGAAATCAAACAGGGTTGACTACGTGTTAATTGATTTTGCTAAGGGGTTCACACATCAAACAAGGTTCCCATTCCCTTTAGTAAATGATAATAATGTCAGGACATGATTAAATCAGTAAATTTTGATATTATGTACTGACGGCATTATTGATTAAGAAATCAATTACAAGTAACTATTTACATAGTCAAGGTGGATTGGCGACATAGAAAAGATGACTAGTGTGTGTTGTATAAATTCTTTCTCTGTCGGAGAACTTAAACACTAAACTATTTTAGTTAATCATGGTTATCATATAGTTGATTCAACCTTTTAACAGGATCACACTAATAATTGGAGAGTTACTGCTCTAATCCTCACATCGGTTCTGTTTCTGGCGTCTGGAATATGGTTTATAGGTAAAGTTTTCCAACAAATTTTTATATCCATCCAATTGTGATTGAAGTAGTAGAAGATTAAATGTTTCATTTCTTTGTAAATGCAGGGATCTTTCTTCATAGTGTTGATAGATTTGATGAAGAAAATGAGCTTCAAGTTAGTGTTACTGACAGATCAAACACGATTCCACTACTTGGGGAGACAACTCAAAGTCTTTGATAAACCTTTGTTTTCTCGTTTATCATTTCCTTTTGGGACTTGCAAATTTGCTGTATAATTTCTTTGATACTTATCTATCCTGTGTTTAGATTCTGTTTATGCATCAAGGGAAGCTTCTTGTCTCTCTCCAGTGCAGTAAAACCAAACCTGGTGGTGAAAGGACCACAATTTGGCTCAAATCTTTTCTACTTCTCTTGTTAACTTTGTTGAAGAAAAAATAATATTGATATTTTCGAACCTAGGAAAATCACATAACTACAAGCATATTAGATGAATTGCAATTATTAGCAGTATTCTTATTACAATTGCCACCAAAAGTAAATTCATAGGATATACCAAAAATTAGGGGTGTACATGGTCGGGTTGGTTCAGATTTTTTAAGTATCAAATCAAATCATTTGTGTCGATTTTTAAATTTATAAACCAAACCAAATCAAACCAATAAATACGGGTTTTTCAACCTCGGATTTTTTTGGGGTTTTTTGGCGGGGTTTTCTCGGTAAAGTATTTATACAAATATATAATTTACTTGTACTTAAAATATCTTTTCAGTCATATCAAAATATAACTATCTAAGGTGTTTCTTAAGAAAACAATACAAACAATGATATGATTAAAGTGGCACTAAAATATCCAAAAACAATGAAATCGAGTAAAACAAATATTACAAATTAACAAGCATAATGTAAATTATCACAATTAAAAGTTTTAAATCTTCCTAAAACAAATTTAATAAGTATTAGTTATATGATTAAATATTAAAGGAAATTAAAATTAGATTATATATTTTAATTGTCTAAACCAATGTAAAATTAAAGAACAAGTATTCAATATTATTTTCATTCTTAGTGTTATTCAATAACAACTATGTTATTAAGATCACATTGATCATTCGTTAATATTCAAATTTTCGATATATACACTACATTGTCAAGATCATTTATCTTAAGCCAATCCAAAATTCTAAAAGTGCTATATTTTTTTATACAAAATTTATGAGTCATAGAAATATTTTAAGTATAAGAGAAGTATAAGAAATCTCCATGAAAATAGTTGGTCAGAAGTAATGAAAATTTCTAAATTCCAAGAACTTATAAAGAACAACATTAGACGTTAAAGAAGAGATCAAAAAACCTCGAACAACAACACTCTCAAGTAAAGTGGAACATCACGTCCATACAAGAATATAATTGACTAATTCAAATGAGGGACATTCGGCTCCTTTCTTATGACCCTAAAATTGTTAGTATCATAAATGTTTTTCCTCATCGTCTCAGAATAGTCATTACAATTGCTTAGGTTTCATATCACTGGCCCAACTTATTTTGAATTGAATCATAGTTATTGTTATGGTTATATTATGTTGTTACAAAGAATTAAAAAAATTATAAAATTTTATATATAATGTCGGGTTTGTTTGGTCTCGGGTTAATTTTTAAGTTAAAACCAAAGCAACCCAAATATAGTCGAACTTTTTTTTTCAACATCAAACCAAATCAAACCAACCACTAGTTGAGTTTTTCTCTCGATTTGACTCGGTTTACGGTTTGGTGCCGTAATTATTACAATCATTGCGAAACTCTCTAAAAATCTCCATAGATCTTTGCCTTCAACTTTGGGTGTTAGAGAAGCTCCGACAAGCTTTATGTTAAGACGACAACCAAAATGAGAAGATTACGAGCTCTAATTTGATCCACCCGGGAGTTTTAACATCTCGCTTCCGACCAAATACAACTTGGCTTCAATATCGCTCGTAATGGTCGACAATATTCCTGTCATACCTGGATTCATATATTTAGAGCTAGAAGCTTCGCCAGAACCAAGCAAGATGAGATCGCTCTGCTTCGTAGACAAGGCTCGCTCCGTTCATCCCCTTTTATAAATAAGATAAGATCTAGATCCTTAAAATGTTTATTGTTTCATGTTTTAATGCATATCCCTCATACTTAGTACATTTCATGTACTAATACATGCTTATGTCTATATTGTTTCACTAATGTAGGGTAAGACGACTCATCTCCCTTCATTCATGGCTAGTTGATCACCTTAGAGATTTGAATACATAGTGAGTCCTCATACTCCGAGGACCGTGTCGCCTTTATATCTTTCTTATGTATTTACTTAATGGATGTTGTATGTGGTGTACGAGTTATGTTCCAATACTTCTTGATGTTGTAGAAAGTGAAATACTCTACTTTTGTCTATTATATTGTGTATATGTATATCAAGTGGCTTGTGTAGGGTCTCTCGGAGTCTTATTCGTCATGCCACATCTGGGTGTACTTTGGGTCATGACACATTAAATTTGGGATAAATAGGAAACTATAAAAAGTCTTAAGGAGAAAGAAAGTGTATCAAATTTTAGCATCAAATTTTATATGAAAATGTTAAGTTTTTGTAGTAGATTTATACCTTTTACCTTGTGAAAAACATCTTTTCATTTTGGGATTTTAGAATACACTTTTGTAATTGACTTTGAGAGTTAAAATCGAAGTGGGTGTATAAGATAATTGCTTAATTTCAATATATTAATGATTGTTATTGTGATAGATATAATTTATTTTCTTTATATGATATGTAGCTAAAATCTCAATTCTAGAGTTGCAATTATGGGGTTGACTGTTGTTTTAATGTAGTGAATTTTATGTTTTTCTTTATTTTAATAGGTGGGTATTCATAGATTTAAGCTAATTAGCATGTGATTAATGGGATAAGATTGCAAACTTAATTCTATTCTCGATCTTTGATTGATGCTCGAAAGAGATCAGTTGGAACGGATAATTAGTTTAATGCATGCAATTAGATTTGATTTCTATGGTTTGCTCGAAAGAGAGATTATGGTTCATATCTAGTTGTCCAAATCTGCTCAAAAGTGAAAATTTTATACGGTAATGGATTGATTTGTGATTCACATAGATGAGATCGAAAGGATATTTTATGATATGATGTTATGAAATTGAAAGAAAATTAGTGTCATTAAAAATTATCCAGTCTATCCATGATTGTTTAGCACTACTATTAAGCAGCACAAGTACCCTTATGTGACATTGATACCAATGCTCATACCCCAGATTACTTCTTACTTGTGTGAATTCCTAATTTTAGGTCTATTGTGATATTTGATACTTAAAACCATTTTATTAAATTTTATTGAATCATCCACCCACTTTCTCTAAAGTACTACGATAAAAAGGTTCGCGTTCTTAGCTTCCCAATTGAATTCTTACCTTAAATTATTCCTTGTGGGATTTGACTCCAAATCTTTGTTAGGTGTAACACCTAGAAACCAGGCTTAGAGAATTGCTAATGAAAATCACTGAATTAGTGAACCACGACAGAGTTCAAATACAGTGATAAGGTCCACAGTCCGTTGACCTGCCTGTGGACTTCAGCATCCTTCAACAAACGTGGACCACAAGACCCTTCACGGGTCGTGGACCACATCACGGCCGCACTGGTGCCCGTGGTGGATAGTCAGAGTCCCCCCAAGCCCTAACATCAAACCACATAGCCCTCCACGGGTCGTGATCTTGATGACAGGCAGTGGGAGGATTCGTAGACCTAAGCCAGCGGGCCACCAACACAAGAGAGGAACCACGTTGACATTAATGATTTGTGGTAGAGCTTGTGTGCGAGAAAACCAAAACTAGCAAATACTGGATCAAGTACCACGACTAGCTCCACGATCCGTGGTCCCTTTGATGGCCCGTCATAGGGGCCATGTTCAGCCCGTCAGACTTTTTAAGTAAGGTTGTTTTGATCCTTTTCCATATGCGTTGGACACCTATACTACGTCGTTTAAACCCTAAACTACGTGATTTTAGGTCAGTTTTAGCCTAGTAAACAAATTAGAACATAACTGAATCAATCATTCACTAAATATTCATCAAACTTATAGCAAAATAGAGGAGAATGTCGAGCAACCCTAGTTCACGAACGCAATGTGTTTTCAGTAGTTCCATCCCCCAAAATCAAAATATTTCTCTGTGAATTTTTTCACCAGGTATGTGAGATTTCACTAGTGGGTTCCTTTCACCCATAGGTTCCTAGATTTTAGTCAGAATCTTGATCCCCTTAATATTATCTACACCTAGGGTTTTCTGAATGTTAGAAATTGTTGGGGTTTAGCTGTTAGAATTATCCAAATTAGGTTATCATGTTGTTGCTTAGTTGAATTACACATAATAGGTCAATTATTTCATATATACACTTTTTAGTTTACGAATCTCACATTATCATTTGTAATTATTGTATTCTCATAGTTTGCATGTCAGTTTTTGAGTTATCCAGTATTTAAGCATTTCAGTCGTAATATTGCTTATACATACATTCTAATTGTGAGTAGTTTAATATCGAGTGGACTAGGGTTCAGCGTACCCGAATAGTCCTAGAATTATGTGCCCCAGTAGGTTTATAAGTCTACTCTATGAGCATTAAATTTTAGTGATCACGTCAGGCATGCCTCTATACCTCTGGCATGATATATTTGGTCCTCTTGATGGGACGTATACATCGGACTCCATATTTAGTTCGTTGGTTTTATGTCGGTTATTAGTAGCTCTCTTACAATTAGATTCTATTGACCATTTATCAGTTACAATTACAGTCTTAACATGTTATAAACTTGGTCATTTCATCTAATTAGTTCATGTTTAGTATTCTTATAGTATCATGCTTATCTCTTATGATTGCTCAGATATATGTCTTGGTTCAATTATGTTTATCATTCAACTTTATTCTATATTGCATGCTCAGTACCTTTCAAGTACTGAGGCATACTCTGTGCTACATCTTGTCATGATGTAGGTTCATATCCTCAGCTTTCAGATCACACATAGATCAATTCCTGATCTCCAGTTGAGAAACATCAACTGTGAGTCCTCATTCTTCGAGGACGATTGACATGATTATCTCTTTTCATTTAGTCTTTAGTTTCTGTATATCTAGATTTAGCTAGGGCATGTCCCAGCACTTCTAGTGAGTTAGAAACTTAAATTCAGACATAGTTAGATTCAGGTTTAGCATTTGAATTTGACTTTTATGTTGTTGTTAAACTCTCTATTGTTTTTATATATTCAAATAGCTTATGGGTATTCCCCATCATTTCAGCTTTATCATGATTTAAGCTTTCGCAAAGTATATTTTATTTTATACTCTTTTAGTATGCTTATGATATGTCAGCTCAATGTTAGCTTGGGGTCACTCGTGATCCTAGGTCCTGTGTTCGTGTCCTGGGT